TGGCTCCTGAGTCTGTTCCCACCTTTTACGTTGCCTGCCCCCGCTTCCTGGGCTCTTGCTCCTCTTGCATGGAAACCACAGGTGGACTGACGTCTGAACAGAAGGCACTGCGGAAGATAAACATATGAAGGAGCAGGGGGAGGCACTCTTAACTTTTTTTTTTTTTTTTTTTCTGCAGTACACGGGTCTCTCACTGTTGCGGCCTCTCCCGATGCGGAGCACAGGCTCCAGACGCTCAGGCTCAGCGACCGTGGCTCACGGGCCCAGCCGCTCCGCGGCATGTGGGATCTTCCTGGACCAGGGCACGAACCCGTGTCCCCTGTATCGCAGGCGGACTCTCAACCACTGCGCCACCAGGGAAGCCCAGGGAGGCATTCTTGTTAGAGGACGCTCTTGTCCTCCAAACACGCTCCTGTATCTGTTGCCATTCAGCTCAGCACTTAATATTCTCCTGTTCTTAAATGTATCCATCTATTTAATTCTTGTGTCATCATCTCAACTGCAAAGCTTTGTTGGCTGAGCCCGGAATTGGCTTTTCATCATTTGTTTCTACTTCTGGGAAGGTAAAAACTGCTCTGGATGGACTTCCTTGGGGGCGCAGTGGTTAAGAATCCGCTTGCCAATGCAGGGGACACGGGTTTGAGCCCTGGTCCAGGAAGATCGCACATGCCGCGGAACAACTAAGCCCGTGCGCCACAACTACTGAGCCTGCGCTCTAGAGCCCGCGAGCCACAGCTACTGAGCCCACGTGCCACAACTACTGAAACCCACGTTCCTAGAGCCCGTGCTCCGCAACAAGAGAAGCCACCGCAATGAAAAGCCTGCGCACCTCAGCGAAGAGTAGCCCCTGCTCGCTACAACTAGAGAAAGCCCGCGCACAGCAACGGAGCCCAACGCAGCCAAAAATCAATCAGTTAATTAATTAGTCGATTTAAAAAATCAGTCCCTCATGTCCTTTTATCACTCTCTGCCTATTCTTGGTGTGCGCAGCCATCTATCGGCAGCCCGTGGGGCCTGCGGAGCCTGGAATAAAATCTCCCTTTCGTTCTCCACAGGATCCTCCAGCAGAAGGCCCTCCTGGGGTGCAGTCAGCACCTAGCAGGGCTTCTCTTAGCTCTGCACCCTAGGGCCCCGGCTGTTCAGGCCCTTCCTTCCCTGTCCTGTTTTTCCCTTGTGGCATCACAGCCTCTCCCCTCGTTGATTGCCCGGAGGCCTATGTGTATGTCCCTTTGCAGAGAGCTGCATGCCTCTTCCCGGGGTAAATCCCCTGGGTTGATCATCCAGGAGGATTTCTGGCAGCTCCCAAGCCTCTGAGTGTCCCACTTGTCCCCCAAGATCTAACTGAGGGCGGGGCAGCTGCCAGCCCCTCTCCCCCCAGCCGGCCCCCCAGCTCGAGGAGGCCGCATGGTGTGGCCACCTTTCTCTCCTGCTCATGTGGTACCTTTGCCATTGTCCTTGCTTCTTCCTCTCAACAGTACGAGACTGAAGGACCCAGGGTTATTATTTCAATTTAGAACACAGGAGAGGCTCAGAGGTTAAACGCCTTGACCCAAGTCCCACGGATATGCTTCCATGGTCCCTCATCTAGAGCCTCTGAGGCCTTAGGACGCTTGCAATTTTGTATCTTACTTCCCCAAATAGGACTGCTGTGCCCACCACTCTGTCCCCAGTGCCTTGCCCCACTACCTGGTACACAGTAGATGCTCAATAAACGTTTGAAATTGTTAAATAAATGGATGAGTTAGAGAAAGAACATTCATTCCTTTATTCATTCAACAGTGGCTTGAGTGACCCTTTGATGGGTCCTGGGGATAAAAGATGAATAAGATACCATCGCCAGGGCTTCCCTGGTGGCGCAGTGGTTGAGAGTCCGCCTGCCAATGCAGGGGACACGGGTTCGTGCCCCAGTCCAGGAAGATCCCACGTGCCGCGGAGCGGCTGGGCCCGTGAGCCATGGCCGCTGAGCCTGCGCGTCCGGAGCCTGTGCTCCGCAATGGGAGAGGCCACAACAGTGAGAGGCCCGTGTAACGCAAAAAAAAAAAAAAAAAAAAAAAGATACCATCGCCACCCTTGAAGAAATCAGTCTTGTGGGGAAGATAAACTTGTAAATAAAAAGTTACAACACAATGCATAGAGTGCAGAAATGGAGGAATGTGTCATGTGCTCTATGAGAGAACAGAGGGTATAGACTCTGCCTGGAGAGTCAGGAAGGCTCCAGGTAGGAAGGGACATGAAAGATGAGAGGCTGTGCATTTGCTGGAGTGTTGGGGGTGAGCAGGGTGAGCGCAAGGCATTCCTAGAGCCGGGGGTGACAGTGAGTCCTGCAGGGACCCAACATGCTCAGGGGTGGCCTGGGGGAGCACTGTGTGGGCAGAACTTGAAGGCAGGCTCTTGGGCCTTTCCCTTCAGCACATAGAAGTCGGAGATCTCCCACATGTATCCCCCAGGCTCTGGGTCCAGGAGAGTTGTACCTGGGCCCAGTCTGGGGTACAGGGACCACTGACCCCCTGTCATTCTCGTTTCATGACTGGCTGCCAGAAAAACCTCTTCTGACAACGAGTTCCATATCTGAGCCAATTGGAAACAATCTTATGAGATTTCTCGAGCCAAAAGCTCAACTATAAGCTGTGTAAGTCCATTCCATCTGCTCTTTCATCCTGTGATTCCACCCAACACATCATCAAGTCAGCGGGGCGCAGCTGTCCTCAAGCGATCTCAGGGGGTCTCCCTTATGCTGTTTCTCTTGTTTATTCTCCTCTTTCCCAGGGATTTAGCATAGGTTTATCTGACTTTCAGTTCCAGATGACTTTGCCTTTTCCATTTGTTGCTGTGTTTGAGTTGTAGGTGAGATAGTCGAGTGCACATGTGTACACAAAAGGCAGGGTGTCAGTACTCTCGGGGGCCAAGGTGGGCTGTGGGCTTCACCTGAGATGCGAAGGAACTAGGGTTGTTTATAAGTAAGGACCAGAGGGAAAGGTCAATGTAATTTGTTGTGTGGGGAGCAGGAAGGAGTCACAGGTAATAACTTAGGGGCTCACTGGCTGGGACATCTCAGTTATGCCTGTAATGGAAGAGGGTTCCATATTGTAGTGACAAATAGTGACATCAGCTTAGTGGAGAAAGGCAGACCACTGTGCCTCTCCAGTTGGAATAATTTTAAAATAGGAATCTAGTAATTTTGACCTAAACATGACTTCATGGATTTACTTTTTATGCTACCCATACACACAAACACACTGTGCTCACCACAGAGGACTCCTGGATCCCTCCTCCGCCATTTTTACATCAATTTTATTCTTACTTGTATCTTTACAGAAAATGGCACAGAAATCACGGGTTTCGAATACCTAGAAGTTATTACAGTTCCATATTTCAAACACTTCAATATCAAGTTTCTTTCTTCTGATTCTATGTACATTATGTACACACCAGGGACTACAGTCTAACACTTCAAACCAATGGGAGACAGAGACAGGAAGAACTGGGGGGAAGGTCCATGGACGGAATGAAGAAGAAATCAACTTTTGCTATGGAATTAAAATCCCAGCTCACTGACTCAGGCCTTTCTCTTGCAAGGGATCCCCTGCAAGGGTGGGTGGGATAGTAGAGGAAAATGCCATGGGGGTGAGGGGGACATGTGCCTGGCCTGGGGGTGGAAGGGGCAGCTGCAGAGAGGCCATCAGTATGGACAGGTCCTCCCATCAGCAGACAGGAAGAAGCCCCGTCCCCTATTCCTACCCCATCACTGTCTGACTCTAGAGAACAGGCACCACGGCTCACACCCAGCGGGAAGGTACGTGTGCCTGTAGCTTAGTTTGGGTCTAACACTGGCTCCTCCCTTGCTCTCCTTCTAGCCTTTTCTCATACTCTTCTTGTGATCAACTGTGACGGCTATTTATAGCCCCAGGCCCCCTCCAGGAATGGCCTGGATCAAGTTGAGTCAAGATCTGTGGTTTCCTATGTGTTCATTTTACAGCTCGATTGGGCTGCTCCAAGGCAGGGCACATGCGAACCAGTGATTTGCAAGAATCTTTAGGGGAAGGATGCCTTGCACAGCAAGTCAGGGTCACAGGCAGCATATTGGGGGGTGGAGGGGGTGGTCAGGATGCTCTAGAAACACACACCCAAGGGCCCTGGGTGGAGGATTTGGCTTCCCAAAGGTGCAGTGAGTCACAGCAGCTGTGAGAGGTGCCCCCTGGCTGCAGGGCAGACCCTGGCCTCACTGCAGGTACTGTACACTGCCCCCTGCGGCACTGGCACCTGTGTAGGGAGGAACGGTGGGACCGGCTGGGTGTGGAGCGTGGGTTCCTGAGTCTGACTGTGGAGGGCAGGACTTGAAGGCTGGCCGAGGGGCCCAGGCTGAGACTTTCCAAGTTGAATCTGGAATCTGGGCCCCAGCGCCGGGGGCCGGCAGGGGTTGTGCCTGGGCCTTCAGGGCAGCACATCACCCACACTGAGGAAGGAGCAGGCAGGGGAGCAGAGTTTCGCTGGGGGCTGGGGCGCTCAGGACACCGGCACTGGAGTGCAGGTCCTCCATCCGTGTCGCCGCTGTGGCGGCCAGTGTGTTTGCAGCAGCGGTCTTTGGGTCTGGGCAGAGCACAGTCCACAGGGGGTGTGGCGCTGGGAAGGAGGGCGCTATTGAGCAAGAGAACAGAGAGTAAGAGGTGGATTTGGACACGGAGAGCCGCCAAAGGATTGAGTTGAAAGCAGCTTGAGGGGGTGGTCTGGGGCGGCAAGAAGGCTTCTGAGGCAGGTCTGTTAGTTGGAGGAGGAGGGTGCTGGCCAGGTCAGGACTAGGTAGGGATGTCTCAGCGTGGCCCAAAGCCTCAGCCAGGACTGAGTTGTGCCTGAAGTCCCCTGGGGGTCACAGAGGGCCTGTGGGGTGGGGGAGGGTGGCAGAGAGCAGGCCTGGGCCCCGCCTCTGAGAACACCTCCCAGCACCACAGGCCCCGAGCAGAGCCGAGCAGAGTCCTGGGGCTCTGGTGTCTGCGCGCCCTTGCCTACGCCATGTCCTCGCGCTGCGGCGGACTCAGCTTCTCCGCTGGCCTGTCTTCGTCCGGGGCCTCCTCCCGCTCCGGCTCCTCGCCGTTCCGGGCCAGGCTGTCGGGCCCGGACACAGTCCCCAGCACTTTGGTGCTGTGCTCCTGCGCTCTGGCTCGGAGCGCGGCGATGCTGTTCTCCCTCAGTTCCTCCTGGGACATGGCGGCCGGGGCGTCGGGACCCCGCTCCTCCGGCTCTATCTTGTCGAGCTTGGGCAGGGCCTGACGCTCCGCCTCGGGCTTCCTCCCCGACTCAGCTGCCGCCTCCAGCGACTTTTTGTGCATCCCTAAAAAGAATTGTTGGTATTCGGGTTTAGAAAAGCGCCTGGGAAAGCCATCTTGAACTGAAAACGGCAAAGATAGAGAGAGGCCAGAATTAAGGACGAGCAGAAAGCCTTACTTCATACACCGCAGTCACGCGAGTCCCAGGGGTCGGGGTCGGGGCCGGGGCAGCGGGAGGGGGGCCGGGGATGAGGCTGCGGAGCAGCAGCGGGGCACCAGGTCGGCAGAGGGCTTCTCCCAGCCAAGTCCCTGGGCACCTGGCCCCCGGGAGTCCTGTCTGTCCCTTCCTGAGCACAGCACTTGCTCCCGAGCCCTCCCTTTTGGGATTCCAGATCTCAGAACTCCAAGATAAGCTGGCGCTGCTGTCAGACACAGGTCCAGATGGCAGATGGGGGAGGATGGCAGGTGGAGAGATTTAGGGGGAAGAAGTCCTTTGGGCAAAGCCAGAATGGTGGCCAAAGGGATCTAGAGGTCCCCTCAACCCCCAAGAGGGGCTGTTTCATTCACCACAACCCCAGCTCCAGCCAAGGGAAGAGGAGGATACACACCCTGGGGCAATAGCCATCCCCTGCTCACAGGACAAAAGAACTCACAGGGGGGATCCGTCCAGGATGAGAGTCCTAGGCACCCAGTAGGTGGGTGTGAGGAACAGACACCAAGCCCCGGGCGCAGCCTGCCCTCTGAGCCCCCCAAGGGAGACCGGGAGACTGGCTCTGGAGGGCCTCTCTCCCGCCAGGCGTTGTGGCCAGGCGTCCCTGCTCCAGGGCTCTGTCCCCTCCTCCAGGGAGCCCGCTCCCCTCACCACGGGGGCAGGGCCCCAGGGAGAGTGCAGGCTCTTACCCAGCAGCCACGGGGCGCAGGAGTCCATGATGCCATCCTTGGCGGACTTGAGGATGGACTCCGGCAGGGGGATGGAGTGGCGCACCATGGCCCCGTAGAGGCCGTACTCCGCCATGACGCTGCTCCGGCCCCAGCACTTCTCTCGCTTCCTCCACTTGGCTCTTCGGTTCTGGAACCAGACCTGTAAGTGCAGACGAACAGGTCAGGGGCGTCCTCCACCAGGCAGAGGCCAGGCCCCTACCCCGCTGTGTCTGCCTGGAGTTAAGGGACCCGCCTCTTTGATTGCCAACGGCCCCATTCCCCTGTGACTTCGCTTTCTCCAGCAGGGCATCCTTACTTAAGCTCACCTACCCCGAAGTACCCCTGGGGTTCCTCCAGGCTCAGCGTGTCCAGAATGAGACACAAGTCCTGTGAGAACATGATGGGCAAAATGGTCTTTTTTTTTTTTTTTTAAATCAAAGCAGTTTAAGGTGATGGAGTAGGGACACCTCCTGGACAGGGTCTGGCAGATGGGCAGTTCCCCATGTGGTCCTCAGTTTGCAGCCGAGAAGCCCGACCCTCATAGCTCTCTTGCAAGTGTTCACACCTCCAGCATACAAACAGAATCCCTTTTCTGGCTCGTACAGGACAAAGTCCTTTCCAGTGCCTTTGGTTCAGGGCTCTGTCTCCACCAGAACTGCAGAGGCCAGAGCAGTCCCAGCAGGCGAGGTCAGTGTGGACTCAGGCAGCACAGGCCTTTTCATCCAGGTGTCAGGAAGCCTGGGAACGGCTGCAGAGCAGGGCAGGGGACACTCCCAAGAGGCCTGAGTCAGCCTCCCTTCTCTGCCCTGTCCTGGCCAAGTCCTGCCCTGCCATGCACCCACTGTGCACAATTTTGGACCTAACTCCGAATGACATTTGGGGGAGCTGGGCAACCATCCTTCAGTCAGGGAAGGAAGACAAAATGCTTCTGGTGTGAGGAGCATGTGAAGGTAGGGACCTAGAAGAGTGCGGTAGGGGACACTCTAGGGGATGCTTCTCTGGCCCCAAAGCTGACTGGTGCAGGGTCTGAAAGAGCATGGGGTGGGCTGGGGGTATCTGCAACACTCCAGCCTGGTTTGGGGAGGAGATCCTTGGGTCCCTTTCATGCATGGAGGAGGGGGGAATTTCTTGGTCCCCCCAAGCATTTTTCCTGAGGCTTCCTGCAGCTGACAGGAGGCAGAGCCAGGGACAGCTGCACTGTCCCTCAAGCAGGTGAGAGGCCCGTGGCAGACCGGGGGTCTCTGGAAGGACCCCAGGCCCGCCAGCCCCCTCTGGTCCCCTCACAGCCTCTCCAGGCCCTGACCCCGGCGGCGGCGAGCCACCCAAGCGCCCCGTGATGTGGGGGGATGGGGGGAGGGCAGAGGCGGGTTCGGGGAGAATCTATTAGTTTCCTGGGCGATTTCCATTCCCTCACCTCGGCCAGGTCCCCGCCCTTCCCTCCGGGCCCCCTCCCCCGCCCCCGGCGGCGGCGGTTTCAGCTTTTGATGAAAAATTGCTCCAGCTCTATTCAGGAGGCGGCAAAAGAAGAGTCACCCCCAGGGGCAGCCCTGGGCTGATTGAAAAATAAGTTAATTTCTGTTTGAATCGATGGGCCTCAAGCACTGAAATATCACGGGAAATTAAAGCGGCTGCTCTCTCGGGAGCCGCCGCATTGACCCGCACTAATTAATGCTGGGGAGGCAGAGCGAGCCGCGCCGCAAGCCGCCCCCCCTCCCCGGGGGACCCCAAACGCTTCTCATTTAACTAATTAGACAGGAAAAATTGGGTGTTAATTTGTTTAGGATTTTTTCCCCTCTTCCCCCACGGCAGCTCCCTCCCCGGCCCGCTCCCCACGCGGGGGCGCGGGAAATGAATGCGGGGCTTGCCGGCAGATGGCTGCCCCGGTCACTCTGCAATCTTCTCCGACTTGATTGCTTGATTAGGTCGTTAGCACATTAAAAAAAAAAATTGCTTGCCGTCTGGCGCTGGCGTGATGAGTGGGACGCGCGGCAGCGCCTGGGTAATTTATCTTTTTATACGGCAAAGAATTTGATTTCAATCTGCAGATATATGGGGAGCCTTTGACACCTGTTTAACATCGCGCCGCTGACAGCTTAACCCTTTGCTGCCTCGGCCGCGGGGAGGCCTCGGCGGGGGCTCGGAGTCCGCGCGCCCCTGCGGTTCCCACCGCCGCCGCCAGGTGGCGGAGTGAGCTCCCTGGCAGCTCCCGACAGCTCCGAGTCTGCAGCGGAGCGCGGCCGGCCACATCCAGCAGGGAGCGCCCCGGCCGCACCCACAAGGCGCCCAGAGCCCCGCGGTCACAGACTTCTGCGGGGCTGCTTCCAGACCGCACGGTCCTCGCACACCTTTAAGTTGACCCAAATGTGTGTAACCTGTTTTGGCATTTCTTCATTTGTAAATAACTAGGAAACTCTAAAAATGGGAGAGATGCGGCCTCAGACACCCCGGGCCTCTCAATCCTCACACTGACCCGCGCCCGCGCTGTTAGAAAACGATCTTTCGTCCCTCCCTGGGCGGCGCCGCCTCCGGTGAGCCGCACCGTTGCCACCACCGGGTTTAGCACCTGCCGTCCCTGCTGGAAAGCTGCGGAGCTAATGCAAGGCCTCCCTCTGGTCTAGACCCAAATCGCACTCAGCGAACCTGGCCAAGGAACGGGTTTATGTAATGTGAAGGCTACTAGATGGCTGCGCTCCGTGCACTAAAGAGCGGAAATAGGTGCACCATGCGAGTTCGGGCTAACTCGGCCATCGGCCTGGCCTGGCTCTGCGGTGTGTTTAGATCTCTCCCCTGCGGCCCTGTCTGTCCCGCAGGCCCTCTGCCCTACCCAAAGCCTGAAGTTTGTCTGAGACCTCTGTCCTGCTCTATCTTCCTTCCCGTTAGCACTTGGTCGTCCTCTACAAGTACTCGTCTCAAGCTTTTTTGCACCTAGGAAAAATCTAAAAGGACTAAGCCACAGAAAGGTGTAAGTGACTTCTGGTTTCAACCACCTCACAGAGAAGACAGCAAAGAATGAACCCCTTGGCGATGGAATTCTAAGGTGGAATTCCAAGTCTGACCACAGAGGGTTGGGAAGGCTATCTTTATGAATCTAAGTAAGCCATCTGCCTCCTGGGCAGGAGATGACCTTCCTGCTTGAATACGGTGCATTACAAAACAACAGGACCACAAGCCCTTAACTGGAACCCATTGGGACCAGACTCCAGAATGTTTTGGATTTTAGAAAAAATATGTGATGCATATATTACATGTTATGTAACATCCTGCAGCAGCAGCAGTGGTACCCCATAGTCAAACCAGCTTTGATTTCTGCAGCAAAACATACACATATTCATAAGGGACAAATAAAGAGCACGAGGTCAGATCTGGTTTTTGCCAAGAATGAGTTCTGTTGACAAACTGATGAAAGAAGTGTCTGTTTTCAGTACGGTTTAGAGTCAGGTATTCTGGGGACTTCCCTGGTGGTCCAGTGGTTAAGACTCCAAGCTCCCAATGCAGAGGGCGAGGGTTCGAGCCCTGAGGGGAACTAAGATCCCACATACTGCATGGCACAGCAAAAAAATAAATAAATAAAAATAAATATCATCAGGTATTCTGGAGAAGGGATTGTGGAGTAAACAAAAGAAGAGATGCTCGCTACCACTCCCACTCCCTCCACCCCCCCAAGTGTGGGTGCCTGGAAAGGTGCATTGCCCTGGCTTCCCCAGGATTCCATGAGCTTGAGGGGGGGCAGGGCTCTCAGATGGAAACAGCATCTTTCTTGGAACACTGAAGAAGAGGGTGCAGACTTGGGATTCAGATCATCTCCGGGGCCTGTAAACAGAACCATTTTCCTCAGTCTCCTAATTTGGACAAATGAATAACTGGTCTGCAGATCAGACTTTGCCCACAGATGCTCCAAGGGGAATTGGTGCCAGCTGGTCGCTCAAACCAGGAGTCATCCAGACCCTTGGTTATGGGCTTCTGGAATGCCTGGCTCTTTGAAGACCAGATGCTGCTCCAGTTTATGGAGGAAACCTGGACAGCCAAAACAATTTCTTTGTAGGACAGCTGGCAGGGAAGCTGTGGCATTGGTGCCTTGGAGGCAAGAGGACAAGGAATTAGAATTAACCCTAACCACTCTTCATGTTTGCCTTTCTCTTCCCTTCCTGGAAGCAACCAGCATGTGTGCAGAACTTAAACATTTTCAAGAAGCACTGAAAGCAGCCAGTCCTGAACTGGAATTCCCAACTGTGGCAAAAATTTCTGTGTGATCCTGGGCAAGTTATTTGCTCTCTCTCAGTCTCTGTCCCTTCAAGCATAAAAGAAGAATATCAAAAAAAAAAAAAAAAAGAATACCTACTTTTTCAGGGATTAATGAAAGTGCCTAAAATCAGTGTTTGTCACACAGAAGGTGCTCAATAAAAGCTACTTATTATTATTTCAGTGGAGGCACAGAAAGTCAGTGGGAGTCTGTGCAGGGGTCAGGTTAATCAGGGGCATTACCTGCCCTCCTGGCCCTCTCCACGTGCTCTGCAGCAAGGCTGGACTGACAAATAATAATAATAACAACAGTAACAACTCCAGGAGGTGTGATGGGGGTACAGAGCTAACCTTCAGGCTGTAAGATTTTAATGCAGATAGCCTCGAGTTTCCCCTCTAGGGGCCAAACAGATGCCCCTGCAACTCTCCCGCGTTTCTAATGTTTCCCAGACCCTTGAGGCTCAAATGCAAGAGACCACCCATGCAGCTGGCTATGCTCAGGAGCTAGAAGACCTAGGTTGGAGACCCCTGCTCTATCTCCAACTGCCTTTGTGACTTTGGGTGCATTTCTTAACCTTTCTGAGCTTCCGATTCTTCTTCTGCCCTATGGTACCACTTCCTTGCAGGTTTGTTGTTAAAAATTCAACAGAATAGTGCATGGGAAATGCCTGGCATGTTGTAAGAACTGAAAAATGTTGGCTTGATGCTGGGCGAATTCTGGGGACAAATGTGCTACGAGATGAGGATTTGCTTTCAAGCAAATATGCTCAGTGACACTTTTCCCATAAAGCCGGGTCCTCCCATCTCCCACCTTTGACATGTCTTTTCAGCATTTAGGCCTTTCCTGCGTGGTCTCTTGGTTCTGGCAAGCCCACAATACTCCTCCAATCTCTCTACTTTCCTGACTGCGTACTTTCTGGA